TCCTTTCTTTAATTGAAGCTGTCACAGCAGCACTTTGTCTTGACCTACCCAACAAAGGCCTAAATTACATTTCGACTCCAGTGTCTGTTGATACCTCAATGGATTGAAGAAGTGGGTGAATTCACCTGTCGGGATTCCTTTCATTGCTTGCAATCTACACAAAGGTAAAGACCATAACCACGATGTTAGTGTGAGAGGGCAGCTCATGACTGTCGTGGCCGTCATGCAAGCACAGTGGGTTCTGTGTGTGCCCAAGCACCCCCAATATTTTCAGTCACTGTATATTATTGTTAAAATAAGATTAAAGGCCTATTTATATTGTTCGTATTTATGAGGGTACTGTAGGATTGTGTGTTCACAATTCATGATAATGTACTGTACAGTATTGTATGTCTTGTCCGGGTCTTCATAGTCAACTTATCTGGCTGCTAGATCATTTTGATTCAGTTGATTTAACATTCAATGACTTACCAGTGAAATAGAAATAACTGATATTTGACTGAACTGATATTTTACTGAATATAGTTATAATATAGTAATCTAGTATATTCGAAAGTTCTTTAATTTTGTGTGCAACTGTGGTGTCAAGTGTCAGAGAAGGGAGAGAGCATTGAAACCCACAAGGTTTATTTTCAACAGTAAAAGTGCTTAAACAGACCTTTTCTGAGACACAGAAACCTTATACTGTAGGTGTACAACTTGTATCTCTTCACTATTATTAACAATGCATATCAATGTCAGACTGACAAGTATCCACCAGAGTTACAATATAAACCATTCTGACAGTGAAACACACACCTACTGTATGACCTAAAATACAAACACAACGAGAAAAACAGCTCAAATATAAGGGGAACAAATACAGTACATACGTTATTTTTGCATTCGTTTTAGAGATGTTTGTTTGGTTCCATACAAGCCCGTGTTTGTGAAGTGACTGTGATATTGTTGTATGCTTTCTCTAGTCTCAGCCTTGTCATAGGCCTCACAGAGGTGTCCCTGGCCAGTTTCATCCTCGACTGGCCACTCGCTTTGGAGGGACAGCCTGATCTCGGCAGTATCTGGGGGCCTCACATTTTGTAATGATCATCTTATATACTGTATATAGAGATACTGAGGGTCCTTAAATGTTTGTGCACCCTTCTCCTGATCTGTAGCTTCATGCACGTTTAACCCTGAGTTGTTTTAAAGCACATTACGTCTTGGCTCGGAATGTACTATCTGACCAAGGAAGCCCACAATGACAAGCATTGGTATTCTGAAATCATGGGAATCACTATCACTGCCCACAGACAGAGGCCGCTCAACTGCTTGTGTGGCTTCGTTAAAGTAATATTGTGCTCCGAAATTAATTTAGAGTTTGTACAGCAAAGGGTTTCGATTACTTATGCAATCATTTAACTTTCATAATAATTATCTCAGTATGAAACATGAAAGTGCTGGCTTTGTATCCATCAAATATTAATTGCTGCTTCAAAGTGTCATGACTGCACGCTATAAAGAAACAAAACGTGAGAACGAGTCTGAACACTTGGGAAAGGCACCACATACTGTACACATTCTAAACACAATCTACAAAGCTGGCCAAGGACAAGAGCCATTCATTTAAAAGATTGCTTTTTACTAATAGGGTCAGTGACTCTGGAAGAACAGCCGGGCAAGACGATGATCAGGGCAGCCAGGAGGTGAAGGAGTGGAGCAGTGATGGGAAATAGGCTGCTGCACGAACTGAAGCTGGGGATTAGAGGGCTCTCCTGAGGGAAGGGAATCAGAGTGGGGCTGCAGTCTGAAATGCACACTGGTCATGGTCACGGATGTCGAGAGCAGGGGCTGTTCAGCTGACTTAATCAGTGTGGGAACAAGAGTTGAACCATTCAATGGTGGAGAAAAAACTACACGTCCCTCTTTTTTTGTTAATAAGAAAATGCTTATTAAAGTAAACTGCTCATCCTAAAATACAAACAAGCTTTTGTCTAGTGTTTTATCTAATATATACCTTGAAATGGATGGTGTGCTTACATTTTCTTAATTCATTACAAAACATGAAAGGCATTTATGCTGTCATATGAATTTTAAAGACACCCTTTAACAATTCATATTTTATCTGAATTTTGAAAACAATTGTAGTCAAATACTGAGGGACAGTTATTTAAGGATTTTTTTTGGGTAGGCGTTCCTTAAAAAAATTAAGTACCTGTGTTCCTTTTACACGAAAAGTAAACTACATCTGGGGCAACATGTTCTCACAGTAGTTACACTCTCAAATCAGCATCACACCAGTCCTTCCAGAGAGGAAATCAATTATACTGTATGTTTGTGGTTCCACATGTTCTGCAGACACTCTAAGAAGGCAACAGACTGAATATTGTAGCTCAGAGAACATTATAACGAAAAAATAAGTGGGAGGAAATGTTAATTTGAACAATCTAACCAAATTACTTTGTAAACAATCCATTTGTGTTTCTGCAAGTTCTGCTCCATCTTCAACAATAAAATGTCAACCTTCCACTAATTTAAACAGTAGGTGTTTTCACTCATGCAGGCCCTGATCACGAATAAGAGCCTTGATGGAAATCCAAACAGCTGTAATCTTTGATTTGAGCTAGATGGCAAGCTTAAGTTTTGGAAAAGGAACATTTACTTATACTGCAGCTTTGTAGAAATGGCTACATGTTTTGTCTCATGCTGCAATGATGTTGACACTGTTGCTGGAGATATTTACACTCAAGAAATGAATAATTCAGCAGTCTTCTCTCATGTGAGTTTGCCATGTAAAAGTGAGAATTGGTAGCTGAGTTCACTGACACAACCTGACAAAATGGCAACAAAATTCATAAACAGAAAAGCAAAAATGACAGAAATGGAGAATCCAAATCCCACCAAAGCAAAGGCTGTTTGTATCTTTATCAATTGTTCAGCGTCCCCTGAACTTCTAGAACCTGTGATGGATCTGAAGAAGGTAAACGTGTTTAATTATTAATTGTCCACCTGCATACACCTGGCTTCAGATGAGTTTGTTCTTCTTCTATTATAATATACAAATCACTGTCTGAAGTTCGGCTGAACTCCTTGTGATATTCCTACAAGAATACATCCATAACAGGACTAAAATAAACACTCCAGTTTTGCTGTTATTATTCTCTGGAAGAAAGAAGTATTTGTCAGAGCATGATTTGGGTATTCAAAATGTATCATTCCCACAAACATCTACTCCAAGATCACATAAGACACCAGAGATTAAAGTTAACAAAACTCTTTCCATGAAGAGTCAGGAGTGTTTACGAAGTAACAACTCAGCTTTATGACAGAAACTCACTGGGAACTGTAAAGAAATAGCTTGATCAGCTTCTTACTGTAGATAAAGTATTCCTATTTTTTACACTTATCCAGAGTAACAACTGTAGAGTAACAATATAGAAAAGAAACTGTCCAACATCCTAAACAGACCATTGATTACCTGTTAACTGTAATCTCCATATGTTCTTAGGGATTACTTAAAGAGATTGTAAGATAAAAGAACCCTGTTTGTAAATGTTTATAACCACTGTATGTTTTTAAATGTTAAGCTAAAAAATACTGTTTGATTTTCACGTTTATTTTATGGAAATGCCAGAATAATATTCACATTATGTTCATACACATACACATCTTTTCATGCATTGGTAAGCCTGTAGTTTGGGGTTGTACATGCTGCTTTGATTTTGTTACAATTGGTTTCTTACTGTGTTAATGGGGTCACAGTTTGAAATGGATTTTTTTAATGACAAAGAAATACGTACACTGTGCTTAGTTCATATTTAAGTCAGTTCACCAGGCCAAAATTTATCCTGGTATCCAAGGCATCAAATGAACAGGGGATGCTGGTGTATCTCAGAATCAACCCCAAACAACCACTGGTCTCCATTCATACAACTGGGTGATCTGGAGTAATTTGGTGTAAAATACACTTGCGGTCTCTGCAAAGAGGACTTGACCACTTATAAACACACACCTTACCTGCTGTGCTATACAAAGTTGGGCCCCAATGAGAAAGTGACTTCATAAAATTATTGTCTATTCCATTTTTTTTATAATTCTACTTTTAATATTTTCTCTAGAATATCTGATAATCTTATTTAGGACTTTGTTTAACAGTATAGCATGGAATATCTGAACAGATGAAGGCTTTGGTTTTGGGAAGCTTATCAGGCACTGCTTACCACTACACTCTATAAGGTAAAATTTTACTACTAGTGATCAAGCAGTCTGCTTTCAACAGCATAATGTTTTTTTCCAATTACTGCAGAGGTCAATTAAGCAGTTCTAGAATTCAGATTTCTTCCACCCTTAAAATCTACAATAGTATCTCTTTCCGTGAAAAACAGGTCATATTTCAGGGGTTACAACTAAGAGGACATACCTAATTACTCACACATACTGTATAAACAGTACAGTATACAGTATAAGTACAGTACATACTATATAAAATGCTTTGCATTACAGAACCACTGATAAAGATAGTACAAATGGATTTAAAATGGTGGACTGATTTTTTTTCTCTGTCACTAGATGACAAAACAACAACTCATCTCATCACTGCCTTAGTACATACTGTACAGTACTTGAAAAAGGAGGATATACAGTATACAGTATATATTTTACTGACAGCTAATGCATTACGTGAACATTCCTCTGTGTGGAAAGCACAAGTCCATCTCTCCCCTCTGGAAGTGTCTTTAACAAACAGAAACGCGTTAATTGAGAATAACTAAATAAACACCTACTAATTAAAATGGAATTCTTCAGCGAAAGGATTGTAGATTCGCTAATAATATTAACGCCAAACAGGCCCCACATACACCATTTATGCCCTGAACAGAACTCAGATAATCCAGATAACAGCAAGGGAACCAATATTCAGAAGAAACTTCAGAGTTTCTTTTGACTGTGGGGGGGGGGGGTATTTTCATCACCATCGTCATAATTAAGATGACTGAAGATCAGCTCAAGAAGTAAACCAGTTCGACGGGGGCATAATCGCCTCAGAAATGCGTGAATTTAGGAATTCGTTCCTGGCGTTAGGACCCTGTAGGTACTATTTGGAAACACTGGAGTCTTGAGCTGTGTCATGACGTCAGTGCTCTAGCTCAGGCTGCTTGGTTTTTAGACGGTGCAGCAGCGGAGACCAGGGGAACACGGCCGTGAGCAGTGGAGGCAGCATCACCGACTGGGTTGCCTCTGTTACTTCAGGAGCAGCCGAAGATTAATAGGGGGGAGAGAAAAAAAAACGAAACCTGTATCCAAATCACCAGTAATGGCTTCATCTGCCAGCGGAGTGGAGGAAGTTCGAGTGTCAGTCTTGACCCCATTGAAGTTGGTGGGTTTGGTGTGCATTTTTCTGGCACTGTGTCTGGATATTGGAGCCGTTTTGAGCCCTGCGTGGGTCACAGCAGATAATCACTATTATCTCTCACTGTGGGATTCTTGCTGGAAACCTGCGAACTCCGACAGCTGGCAGTGTAACTCTACTCTCAGTACTGGTGAGAGAAGTTTTTTTTTTTGTCTCGTGTTGATGGTTTCTTTCTTGGAAAAAGAGTAGCTACTGTATGTAATAATCCCCGCACATGACCAGGGAGTTTCAAGTTCATGATTTTGAGGTTTGGCTCCGGCGTCAACAGAATAAGTGCGTTGGTCTGTGCAGAAAAGTACTCCAGCGATCCCGAGTTCCAATAATGAGCTTTTGTAATGCATATCAGTACTGCGATGAAGAACCTCTGAATAGTGCATTTTACGGCTTTTCTTTCGGTTATTCTGCCCTCATTTAACATGTTTATTTAATTTTAAATTGCGTATGACCGTCCTTTTGAGAACAAAGTGCCAATCCAAGTGCGTACTGTATAGTGCTTATAGGCAATTTCTGGATACAAAAGCAAACAGGCATTCTATAATGTGTTTTTTGAATCTTATTACTCAGGTGTGCAAATATAAATACTTACTGAGGAATGTGCTAAGGATGCTTCATTGGAACGTAGCCTGCGCGTTTTTTGTTTTCAGCCGCAGATTGGAAGAGTTGAATGCGTTACTGATAGGCAGGGCAACTTTCTGAAAAGCACTAATAAAGAGCCCTGTTCGTGCGGCGAAATTGTATCGCGTATTTCAAGTTACTGACTTGTTTGACGATGCGCACATTTCATGTGTGCTAATCGCTATACAGTATATTTACGAGGAGACGCAGTTATATTAGCCAACAGCGCTCTTCACGCTGGTGGGAATTAGCTTTTGTTATCAGGAAAAAATAAAAAAAAAGTCCTATTGTTAAGGTTTTCCTTGGTTGTCCAAGCAGCGAAGGAAGCAAACTTCTGGAACAGAGAGGATGCCAGGATGCTTTGTAACCACGGCAACAAAGCGAGATTTACTTTCTTAAATGCATAACTTTTTCTGTATTTTGTTTTCCCACGGGGCCTCGTTTTCCATTTCATTCTTCCGCAGATATTGATGGTATTTTAAAATGTGGTTTTCTCGGCCGTTGTAAAGATAGATATTTGGCGTAGTACTTCAAACTGAGAGCGTACGCTCAATGTTTTGTCCCTTCCCGTGCTTTGTGCTGGTCCTTTTTAATTAACGCTTCAAACACACTTAACTCCAACTCCATTCCCTTATAAAGTAAAAGGCAGCATCCTGGCATTGTGCCGACAGACCGTTACGCACTAGTTTTTTAACCTGTTTTGTGATTTCTCGAAGGGTGAAAAGACTCTGGTTATGTTTCCTGTTTCGTTCTTTTTTATACCACAATTTGCATTCACACCGGACGGTGGTCAGCCTGCTCGATTAATAAATCTGTTTGGGAAAAAGTTTTAAAAGGGGGGCACTGATACTGCTAATTTAATTGAGAATCATTGTTTTAGGTAGACATTTTGTTTCCTTACATATTAAAGAAACGATCGGCGGATTCTCAGTCGGTGATCTAATACCCGCTTATTGGCACTGCAGCCGACCGGTTCATAAAATTTCCAGGCGGCAGGTGAAATGACATTCACGGGGCTCTGAATCCAGTACGTTAACTTTCAAAAATATTTATCGGCATAGATAATTAAATAAACATGATATAGACATACCGTTTATATGAAGCTCGAAGCCTTCACTGACATTATGGTGTCGATTTTTTTTATGAATGCAGAATGTTCAAGGTTCGAGATGCAATATTTGGGACAAAAAAAATGATCATACAAAAAAAATATTTTCGAGATTTTGAATATTTGCGTGATACTACATTTTGTCTCTCAGAAAGTTACCATATTTTAAGTCGGTATTAAAGTGTTTTTTTAAATACATCTTGTTTGTAATTATAGGCCCATTTCTAATGTACCTGTTCTGTGGATAGTTTTAGAAAGCTTTCAGATCGCAGGTTTTACTTAAACATCTTGCCTTTAGGCTTGTTTATGTGGAATTTCACTATGGGGTTTATTACGAATATATAAAGGATCTCATGAGAAGATACCATGTTAAAGCTTAGGATCTTTTAATTAATACTTTCAGATCCACAGGTTTTGGAACTGTGGACATCTCCATTTTGCCTAAACATTTTAAAAGGCAGATTAGTTCAGCTGGTGTCAGAGATGCCTTGGTCAGATTCCCATTACTACATTGTAGATATTTATAATCCCAGCAGTCTCCGAGGTCATGCTGAGTGTATGAAATGGTCTCCTTTCTTTTTCATATCAAGTTATTAGTGACGCTGTCCAATTCTCTGGAGCAGGTGCAGTTAATGTACATACAGTATGCACAATCACAGGACTGACTGTTGTAAGACCTATTTTTGTTGATCATCTCTGTCTGTATTATGATGTGCACAAACCTTGTTCTGAATGTTACAGTGGTCAGGGCAGAAAGAGGCTCTTAATACTCCGATTTAAGATAACCTAGACTGAGTCCCCCTGTAGTTTAGACAAGTTTTTTACAGTTCTCGACTCAAACAAGGGGGCATTGTTTAACAGAGCACCCCGGCATGTAAATTAAACCACCATTTGATACCTAGTCAAACTCTTGGGTTAACTAATGCAGATCCACTGGAAGGTGGTAAATAAATATGTGAGAAACAATCTTTCATTCACATAGCATACATTAAGACATTAGAAATATAAGCATAAGATTATTTGCAAAGGGATTATACAGTATTTTAGTAAAATTTAATTTTCCCTTTTTTTCCATACAGTCAGATAAATATGTCTGTGTCTTCAGCATATCTTTCACAGTTTGATTTCTGCCTGTGAGTTTCAGCATTGGATTTAATAAATAGAAAAAAAAACATGAAGTGTACCCTGTGATGTTAAGGTGCTTGATCTAAACATCAAATATTTGACTGAAATAAACTATTAATGTACAAGCACCCTGTTCTTAAGGAGATAATGGAAGATGAGGAGCCCGAATGATCCCGTTAATGACTACTGTACCTCCGGAAAGTCATTTCAGAGATCTCCACATTGAGTTCCCTTGCAGTTTGATGTAAGGTAGGCAACACCACACCTGGCATAAAACAGAGCAGACACAAACAAAGCAGTATTTGTATTGAGCATTTTCCAGTGCCTGAGTCCCTTACTTGTCTGTTTCCATTTGTACCTTAGGAAGATGTGTTGTGGGAGAATCTGAGAACTTGCTCAGTGGTCACCTTCATGTGGCAGCAGGTCTTTGGGTGGTGCGGTTTTGTTATATCCAGCTCAGTACCTGCTGGAGTCACCAGATTCTTTTAGCTGTTGAGCCTGACTAGATTTGGTCGAGGGTATCTGGGTCTGAACGGCTGCAGAGTTAGTCATGCCTGCCAAGCAGCCCAACACAACTGTGATGTTGGAGATTTCTGAGGTCACTCTCAATCACCCTTAGAATTAAAGTACAAGAAATGTGGCACATTGTCTGGCTCCTCTGAATAGTAAATCAGAAGGCTTTTCACGCATTTGATTTGTGTTAAAGCGTGTTTGAAATCCAGTGAATGGCAGAAGATTTAACCCACTGGGTCCTCTAGTCCTTTGAAGTGGAATCTTGAACCTGAAAAAATATATTTTTTATATATATGTAGTCAATTGTCACATAGGTGCATGTTTTAATACTTTTTCACATTAACCAGGTCTTTCAAAGCAAGCAAATAGAAGCTATGTCCTAGCTTTGCGTTGATGTGAAATATTATTTTAGTTTAATAGTGCAGTTTCACATTGCTGTTTTCTATTGCTGTAATCTTTAAGGAGAACTAACATGGAGGAGACGATGAGCAATCCAACACAAAGTAAAATGGTGATTTAAATGTTTACATGAAGATATAGAATGTCACCAGTGTGGTTTTGCATGTACTGTATATATTTTTATATTCTCATAAGAAAACAAGAAATCCAGATCCTTGAGTGTGGTTTTCATTCCATCTCGGACCGTAATGATTTCATTGAAGCAATGAAGTGGAGAAGAAGACACTGTGTCTGTGTTTTCCTGGTCTTAATTAGGTGCTAATTGAAAGGTTCCTCTAACACTTGCAGGAGCCCATCAATGAGGGGTTGCTTAGCCCTGTGTAATTGTAATAAACACACTAGGAATGGGCATTAATACACAGACTCACTGCAGGGCTTATGCACTTGATACTGTGGCAATTACGCTCCCATTGCAGGTTGCTTTTGGGGAGAGGAGAGTCGTTTGAGATCATCATGATGGGATCCTTCAGCGATTCAATATGGTGGATGATTCAATATCCTTCAGAAACTTGATAAGACACTTCACTCAATAAGCTACTTCTAACCAAGTAGGTGTGATCGGCCGAGTGGCCACCTTTTTGATTGTAAGCTTTCTTAAGTTCTTATGGCAGTCACAGTGCCTAAGATCTTTTATTTACATGCTCCTGCCATCAAATTATAGATATTTTAAAAATAGGACCATTTTACTAAGGCTAAATATGTAGAAGATGAAGTAAACTTTTTAGCTAAGATTTCCTCAAGATAATATTTGTGGAACATTGTTTTTTTTTTCCTGCTCCTTAATTACTTTTGGCATATTTTGCTAGTGACCCTGGCTGAGGTTTTAGGCTAATATTTTGGAAACAACAATGTTCAGATTACAAATCAAGTGCTGTATTTTTCAGTAAAAGGGTAGCTTTTAAGGACATTTTACTGCTTCCATGTTTTTAGAATCTCATTGGAGACTGTTTATTATTTGTTACTTAACTAATGGTTACCATTTCATTTAAATTCAGGACCACGGGTATTCCAGATGAGGCTATTGAAAATTGAACTTTCTCTTTCACCTTGATGCCATTTTAAAACATGGCTGGACATTGTGCCCTAGTGCATGATGGATCATTTATTATCCTGTTACTCTTCAGTGTTTGTTGTTCCCCAAACATAGCAGTAACACCATGTTGTAAAGGTCATTCATACTTTTACATTTTCTTTTTAAAAGAAACAGTGAAAAATCTTTCATCCAAGGAAACTAATGTTTTTAGATCTTCTGAAGTGTCCTAAAATACATTACTCTTGTAAAACAAAGCCAGACAATCAAATTAGATCTT